CCAGCAGGAATGTGTGAGCATAAAGCATTTTTTTTTTTTTTGGGGGGGGGGGGGGATTTGACATGTTGTTTGGAATGTGAGCCACATAATATTTATGAAGGTGTACAGGAAAAGCAGTTAGATGAGCTTCTGAAGGTGGGAAGTACACTGTACATTGCTTGCTCTTTGAAGGGCCGTTTGGACTATGATGTCCCCTCACTTCTAGGAAGCATTATTGAATGAATAATTGGAAATGTGTTTCCTTTCTTGGCTTAGCCTACCTTTGTGGGAAATAGAAAAAGAAAAGATGATAAGAACATAAGAAAAGAGGAACACTGCAGCAGGCCTACTGGCCCATGCAAGGCAAGTTCAAGTCACCTCCTGGCTTAAATCAATCACCCACCTAGCCAGGTCAGGTCAGGTCACATCCACTTAAGGAAGGAACATGACATCAGACCTATTAGCACAAGCTAGTCAGGTCCAACTCACACCCACCCGCACCTACTCATGTATTAATCCAACCTACAGTATTTTTAAAATTACAGGAAAGATATAGGAAAACGGTGCTTTCCTATATCTTTCCTGAATCTGAATTTTTCCAATTTAAAACCATTGCTACGAGTCCTGTCTTGGCTCGATAATTTTAGCACACTATTTGCATTCCATTTATTTATTCCTGTTTTCCATTTATACACCTCAGTCATATCCCCCCTAATTCTATGCCTTTCTAGAGTGTGCAGATTCAGGGCCCTCAGTCTATCCTCATAGGGAAGATTTCTGATACATGGGATCAACTTTATCATCCTCCTCTGTACATTTTCCAGTGCATTTATATCCATTCTGTAATACAGTGACCAGAATTGTGCAGCTTAATCTAAGTGAGGCCTAACCGAGGATATATAGAGTTGAAGAACAACCTGAGGACTCCTATTATTTATGCTCCTTGATATGAAACCAAAGATTCTGTTCGCTTTATTGCAAACACTTTTCCACTGATTTCTTGGTTTTAGATTACTGCTAACCAGAACTCCCAAATCCTTTTTGCAATCAGTAATATTAAGATCTACATTATTTAGTTTATATGTGGCATGGTTATTTTCTTTTCCAAAGTTTAGAACTTTGCATTTGTCTATATTAAACTGCACTTCTCCAACCACTGCATCATTCTATTCAAATCTTCCTGGAGTGCTGTAATGTCCTCATTAGAATGAATTAGGCAACCTATTTTAGTGTCCAACACTGACCCCTGTGGAACACCACTCGTGACACGCCCCCACTCTGATTTCTCCCCATTGATGCAAACCCCCTGCTGCCTATCTGTCAACTATGTCTTTACCCAGGAAAAAATTTCTCCTCCTAATCTGTGTGCCTTAATTTTACTCAATAGTGTCTGATGTGGAACTCTATCAAAAGCCTTACTGAAGTCCATATAAGATAAGTGATAAGATTTCGTTCGGATTTTTAACCCCGGAGGGTTAACCACCCAGGATAACCCAAGAAAGTCAGTGCATCATCGAGGACTGTCTAACTTGTTTCCATTGGGGTCCTTAATCTTGTCCCCCAGGATGCGACCCACACCAGTCGACTAACACACAGGTACCTATTTGCTGCTAGGTGAACAGGACAACAGGTGTAAGGAAACGTGTTGAAATGTTTCCACCCGCCGGGAATTGAACCCGGACCTTCCTTGTGTGAAGCGGGAGCTTTAGCATATCATATTCAATACCATGATCTACCTCCTCAAATACCTTTGTGAAAAAAGTTAGTAAATTCGTAAGGCAGGAACGCCCCTTTGTAAAACTGTGCTGAGATTTATTAATGAGTTTATGCCTTTCAAGATGGCTACAGGTTGCCTTGGCAGTTATTGATTCCATAATTTTTCCCACTATGGAGGTAAGGATTATTGGTCTATAGTCCGAAGCTAAGGACCTGTCTCCTGCTTTGTAATTAGGTATTACATAATAATTGCCATGTAGCTAGACTTAGCTCTTCTTGTCCAATGTTAGATTAAACAGTGCTCTTTGTAATTCGTATTATCAGTCATATATACCATATGTATCTACATGGAGAAGTGGAAAAGAAGTCTTCCTCCGTAAGCTGTGTGTGTCGTAAAAGACAACTAAGATGCCGGGAGCAAGGGACTAGTAACCCCTTCTCCTGTATATATTACTAAATGTACAAGGAGAAACTTTTGTTTTTCCTTTTGGCCACCCCTCCTCGGTGGGATACGGCCGGTGTATTGAAAGAAAGAAGAAGATATATTACTGAATGTAAAAAGGAAAATTTGAGTTTTTCCTTTTTTGGGTCACCCTGCCTTGGAGGGAGATGGCCGGTGTGTTAAAAAAATATATATACCATATGTATGTTAAGATTTGCTGGTGTGTACATATCAAAATAGAGTAGACCCTCTACTAACGATGGCATCGAATAATGATAAAATCGGGCAACGATGCATTTTTACGTAAAAATATTGGCTCGACCAATGATGTAAAACTCGGGTAAGGACATTCGTCTTGAACGCGTCCTGTCCGTCCAGCCTGAGCGCCTCAGCTGCCCTGCCTTCAGCTAGTGTGCCATTGTTTACAAGCCAGGGCGGATGGTTTCACGCATACATGCGATATATTTTGTATTATTCCATTGTTTTCAGTGCTTGTAACTGCTAAATAAGCCACCATGGGCCCAAAGAAAGCTTCTAGTGCCAACCCTGTGATAAAAAGGGTGAGAAATGCTATCATACCACAGTCAGCTGTTGCTGCACCATGTTCTGCTGCTGCCGTACCACTGTCAGCTGCTGCTGTACCACTGTCAGCTGCTGCTGTTGCTGCACCACCGTCAGCTGCTGCTGTTGCTGCACCACCGTCAGCTGCTGCTGTTGCTGCACCACTGTCAGCTGCTACTGTACCACCGTCAGCTGCTGTTGTACCATGGTCAGCTGCTGCTGTACCACCATCAGCTGCTGCTGCACCACTGTCAGCTGCTGCTGCACCACCGTCAGCTGCTGCTGCACCACCGTCAACTGTTCTACTCGAAGATGTGGAGAGACTGTTGTTGCTGTGGCTTAACAAGAAACAATTACCGAGAAACAATTAACCCCAGAGGGTTAGGCACCCAGGATAACTCAAGAAAGTCAGTGTTTCATCAAGGACTGTCTAACTTATTTTCACTGGGGGTCCTTAATCTTGTCCCCAAGGATGCGACCCAAACCAGTCGACTAACACCCAGATGAACAGGAAAAAATGCCTGGAATTAATGCTCATATTGGTGAATTTAAGGCCAGCAAAGGTTGGTTTGAGAGATTTAAGAATCGTAGTGGCATATACAATATGATAAGGCATGGTGAGTCTAAAAAATTCCAACCCCAACAAGTATTCAGTTGTGACGAAACAGGCCTGTTCTGGAAGAAAATGCCAAACAGGACCTACATTACTCAGGAGGAAAAGGCACTCCCAGGACACAAGCCTATGAAAGACAGGCTAACTCTCATGTTTTGTTGTAATGCTAGTGGGGATTGCAAAGTGAAGCCTTTACTCATGTATCACTGAAAATCCCAGTATTCAAGAAAAACAGTGTCTCATCGCTCATCAGTACAGTGGACCCCCGGTTCCCGATGTTACCGGTATCCGATAAATTCGGTTGCCAATGCATTTGATCGAAAAATTTTTGCCTCGCTTCCCGATACAAAACCCGGTATGCGACACGATTCGTACGAGATGTGTCCACTTGTGGGCTGAACTCCCCGTGTGTACCAGTGTTTACAAACCAGCCAGTGTGCGTGCATCTAAGGATACATTCGGTACATTCCATATTATCCATATTATCACTGTTTTTGGTGCTTGTTTCTGCAAAATAAGTCACCATGGGCCCCAAGAAAGCTCCTAGTGCCAACCCTTCGAGACCAAGGGTGCTGATGACTGTTGAAATGAAGAAAGAGATAATTGCAAAGTACGAAAGTGGAGTGTGTGTGTCGGAACTGGTCAGGTTGTATAGTAAACCCCAATCAACCATCTCTACTATAGTGAGCAGGAAAATGGCAATCAAGGAAGCTGTTCTTGCAAAAAGTGCAACTGTGATTATGAAACAGCGACCGCAAGTGTTAGAAAATGTTGAGAGACTGTTATTGGTGTGGATAAATGAAAAACAGATAGCAGGAGATAGCATCTCTCAAGCGATCATTTGTGAAAAGGGTGATGAAAATCACCCTCACACAGCTATTGCAAGCCATGCTGGTGACTATTACGCTGACAATGTTGTGAAACACTTTAGGAAAGTCATAAAGGAATGAGAGGTACAGGCCTCTATGGACAGATATGTTGTGCGACAGAAGTCCAGTGACTCTCAAGCTGGTCCTGGTGGCATTAAAAGAAGAAGGGAAGTAACCCCAGAAAAGGACTTGCTACCTCAAGTCCTAATGGAAGGGAATTCCCCTTCTAAACACTAAGACCATCCACACTCTCCCCTCCCATCCCATCAATCATCACCAGATCTTCAATAAAGGTAAGTGTCATGTAACTGTGCATGTCTTCTTCAGTTTGTGTGTGTTAAAATTAATGTTTCATGTGGTAAAAAATTTTTTTTTTCATACTTTTGGGTGTCTTGCACGGATTAATTTGATTTCCATTATTTCTTATGGGGAAAATTGATTCGCTTTCTGATAATTTTGGTTTATGATGAGCTCTCAGGAACGGATTAATATCATGAACCGGGGGTCCACTGTACTCTTTAATGAAGGTAAGTGTCATTTTAGTAGTATTTATTTATTTATTGTGCATGTCTCATTGTTTTCTTTGTAGGGAAATGTATATTTCATGAAAAAAAAAAAAATTTAATACTTTTGGCTGTCTAGAATGGATTAATTGGATTTCCATTATTTCTCATGGGGAAAATTAATTCGGCTAACGATAAGTTCGGCTAGGGACAAGCTCTCTGGAACGGATTAATATCGTTGGTCGAGGGTCCACTGTAGTGCGTATAAATAAGTTTGTAAATAACTCTGTTTAGTAACATACTGAATTTATTTTTAGGTCACATTCTGGAAACATGCTCAGCTGATGGAACTCTCAAATTGCTGGATTTGCTGGAGGGAAGGGCCATATATACACTTCATGGGCATCAGGGAGCAGTTACATGTTGTGGTTTTGCACATGATGGTGAATACTTTGCCTCAGGAGGTAGAGACCAACAGGTATTTATTTTATATTTTTTATTCACTTATTTATTAACCATAACTAGCAGTACTTTTTTTTTTACTTTGAAAATAATTGTGAGTTTCCAAGCCATTTTGAGGGGTAATTGTTTGCCCTTGATGCTTTGCTTTTAGGATTATGATTAGTAAAGTCTGGAGCAAGACACACAGTTTAAACATGTTAAGTTTATTTTATAACTGGAAAGGAAGTTACCTTATGGCCATTTGGTTAGCACCTTCCAGTTAACAAAGTCGGGATAAGGCTTGACCTCTGATCTCTTTTGTGGTTATGACTTAACTAAATTCTGTACATATTAGAAAATGTTGATCAGTTAAGAGTTTTTATGAGGACAGTGAGGCTCAGGTATGTAGGAGATTATTTTTCAGTAAAAGTTGGCCTTAGGGAGGTATGCATGATGTCACCATGGTTATAAGAAAAGTAAATGTTGGCATGTTGGGTAGAAGCATGGGATTGCAAGATAAACAATTTAATACAAAGCAGAAGTCGTCACATTTGCTCTTTGCTAATGACACGATGCTTTTGGGAGATTCTGAAGAAAAGTTGCAATGGTTGGTGGATGAATTTTGGAAAGTATGTAAAAGAAGAAAATTAAAGGTGAGCATAGGAAAGAACAAGGTGATGAGGGTAACAAAGAATTTAGGTAATGAAAGACTACATATCAGATTGGAGGGAAGGGGTATGGAAGAAGTGAATATGTTCAGAGATTTTGGAGTGGACTTGTCTACAGACGTGCCTATGAAAGATGAGGTGAACCATAGAATTAACATGTTAACCCTTTGACTGTCGAGACCTCAAATCCTGAAGTGTCTCTGTCGCAAAATATTCGAAAAAAAAAAAATTTTTTCTTATGAAATGATAATCTTTCCCCGATGGTAATGACACAAAAAGTATGAAATTTAATGTTATTACCATCGGGAAAGGATTATCATTTCATAAGAAGAATTTTTTTTTTTTTTTTTTAATATTTTGCGACAGAATTACAGAATTATGCTCTGGTGAAGTTAGCAATCTTGGCAATACATCTGCGATTTTGTCCACTTTGAGCCTTATTTTCGGCCAATTCCATTGTTCCAGTCGATCAAACTCACAGCTATTTCTTTAGAGCTCCATTTGTTCCATTGATTGACTACAAGAAACCGCCCATTTACCGATTTCAACTACCCAATAAAGTGGTCAGAAATTGGCAATTTGGCCAATTTCATGCAAAGTAAAAAAGATGCAAGTTTCAAAATAGGGTTCGGAATGAACAGTGCAGACATTCCTGGCACTAAAATAACATTTTCTCTGTTCATTAGTCACATCTCCAGGCCCCTCTTATATTACTCTTGCTTTCTATTTTGAATTTTTATTCAGACTAAAATATAAGATTTACTGTTATGCAGACTACTGCATTATTTTTATACACTGGAACCTCAAATATCGAACTGCTCTCAACTCGACCAATTATGTAAGTGCATTTTTGTAAGTGCTTTTATAAGTGTATTTTTGAAGGTCTGAAATGAACTAATCTAATTTACATTATTCTGATGGGAATAAATTAGTTTGGTAACGGCACTCGAACAGCCGTCTGGAATGAAGAAAGTTCGATATTTGAGGTTCCACTGTGCAGTGGACCCCCGCCTTACGAACGCATCGCGTTATATTAAATCCACCATACAAAGCATTTGAACACAAAAATTTTGCCTCGCCTCACGATAAAAACTCACCCAACGTGATTTCTCCCAAACCTGTCCATTCAGCCTGAGCGCCTCAGCTGCCCTGCCGTCATTGTTTACAAGCCAGGGTGGCCGGTTGCATGCATACATTCGATACATTTTGTATTATTCCATTGTTTATAGTGCTTGTAACTCCTAAATAAGCCACCATGGGCCCAAAGAAAGCTTCTAGTGCCAACCCTGTGGTAAAAAGGGTGAGAAATACGTACTATCATACCACGGTCAGCTGTTGCTGCACCAGTCAGCTGTTGCTGCACCAGTCAGCTGTTGCTGAACCACGGTCAGCTGCTGCTGAACCCGGTCAGCTGCTGTTGCACCACGGTCAGCTGTGCTGCACCACGGGCAGCTGCTGCTGCACCACGGTCAGCTGCTGCTGCACCACGGTCAGCTGCTGCTGCACCACGGTCAGCTGCTGCTGCACCACGGTCAGCTGCTGCTGCACCACGGTCAGCTGCTGCTGCACCATGGTCAGCTGCTGCTGCACCACGGTCAGCTGCTGCTGCATCACCGTCAGCTGCTGCTGCACCATGGTCAGCTGCTGCACCATGGTCAGCTGCTGCTGCACCACCATCAGCTGCTGCTGCACCACAGTCAGTGTTGCTGAACCATGGTCAGCTGTTGCTGAACCATGGTCAGCTGCTGCTGCACGATGGTCAGCTGCTGCTGCACCACGGTCAGCTGCTGCTGCACCACGGTCAGCTGCTGCTGCACCACGGTCAGCTGCTGCTGCTGCACCACGGTCAGCTGCTGCTGCACCACGGTCAGCTGCTGCTGCACCACGGTCAGCTGTTGCTGCACCACGGTCAGCTGTTGCTGCACCACGGTCAGCTGTTGCTGCACCACGGTCAGCTGTTGCTGCACCACGGTCAGCTGTTGCTGCACCACGGTCAGCTGCTGTTGTACCACTGTCAGCTGTTGCTGCACCACAGTCAGCTGTTGCTGCTGCTGCACCACCATCAGCTGTTGCTCCACCACCATCAGCTGTACTACTCGAAGATGTGGAGAGTGTGTTGTTGGTATGGCTTAACGGGAAACAGTTACCGAGAAACAATTAACCCCAGATGGTTAGCCACCCAGGATAACCCAAGAAAGCCAGTGCATCATCAAGTACTGTCTAACTTATTTCCATTGGGGTCCTTAACCCTTTCAGGGTCCGTCCCGTAGATCTACGGCTTTACGTTCAGGGTCCAAACCGTAGATCTACGCCATGAGCTCAGCTCACTCTGATAAACTGTGAGTGGTACATTTGGGCCTAGATATGAGAGAATACATCTATGTGGTATGTGTGCACCACATAAAACAGATCCTGCAGCACACTGTGTATAATGAGAGAAAAAAAATGAAATCATGATTTTTCGATTAAAACAGCAACTTTGCAGTGTTTTTTCGTATGTTTTTTATAGTTGTATTTGCGATTTCTTGGTCTCAATTGATAGAATGGAAGACATGTTACAGAAATAGAGATGATTTTGATTGGTTTTAGCACTGGAAATGGCTTGAAACTGAGCTCAAAGTAGCAGAAATGTTAAATTTTTGCCGATATTCAAGAGTAAACAAACGACCTCACACGTCTAATCCACATCAGCTGGTGGGTCTAATATACATTTACAAATATGGTGATGATATTTATACAATTATTACAGTATTGCATAACAGTAAATCTTCTATTTTTTGGTGTGAATAAAAATTCATTATGTGAATAAAAAATCAAAATGGAATTTATTTGTAAAGCCTCAAAACATAACTAATGAACAGAGGAAATGTTAGTTTAGTGCCAGGAATGCCTACATTGTTCATTCTGAACCCTATTTTGAAATTGGAATATTTTGAACTTTGTGTTAAATTGGCCAAATTAACAATTTCCGATCACTTTATTTGTAGTTGAAACAGTTGACTTGGCGATTTCTTGTGCTCAATCGATAGAATAGAAGTAATACTAGTGAAATAGCTAAGAATTTGGTTGATTGGAATAATGTAATTGGCCTAAAATGGGAGTCAAAGTCGGCAAAATCGCTGATTCGTAATATCGCTGACACATCAAAATTCGCGAGAGCATAATTTCGTCAATTTTCCACCAAATTTCGTACTTTTTGTTTTATTACCTTCACAAAAAGATTCTCTACGATTTCATAAGAAAAAATAACAAATTTTTTTTTTGAAAATTCTTGGACACTGGTGCGTGACTCCAGATTTGGGCCTTGGACCCTGAAAGGGTTAATCTTGTCTCCCCAGGATGTGACCCACAACAGTCGACTAACACCCTGGTGAACAGGAAAAAATGCCTGGAACTAGTGCTCATATTGGTGAATTAAGGCCAGCAAAGGTTGGTTTGAGAGATTTAAGAATTGTAGTGGCATACACAGTGCAATAAGGCATGGTGAAGCTGAAAAATTCCAATCCCAACAAGTGTTCAATTAAACCATACCCCCGGCCGGGATTGAACCCGCGGTCATAGTCTCAAAACTCCAGCCCGTCGCGTTAGCCACTAGACCAGCTAGCCACAATAAGATTCATCCAACTAGGTATATTTCTACACCATAGGAAGGTTAGCACAGGCACCTCTGTGACCACAAATGCAAGTTTTTACAGATGAATCTCCAGCTAGCGTGGCCGTGACGAACTCTAGCTCAAGTCCCTTCACTGCCGTCAACATGACTCAAGAAATCGTAATGACACGATTGCAAACAAACCATATGAATCTTATTGTGGCTAGCTGGTCTAGTGGCTAACGCGACGGGCTGGAGTTTTGAGACTCTATGACCGCGGGTTCAATCCCGGCCGGGGGTATGGTTTGTTTGCAATCGTGTCATTATGATTTCTTGAGTCAAGTGTTCAATTGTGACAAAACAGGCCTGTTCTGGAAGAAAATACCAAACAGGATCTACATTACTCAGGAGGAAAAGGCACTCCCAGGACACAAGCCTGTGAAAGACAGGCTAACTCTCATGTTTTGTTGTAATGCTAGTAGGGATTGCAAAGTGATGCCTTTACTCATGTATCACTCTGAAAATCCCAGAGTGTTCAAGAAAAACATTGTCTCATCACTCATCAATATGTACTCTTCAATAAAGGTAAGTGTTATTTTAACATTTATTTATGTAGTTATTGTGCATGTCTCATTGTTTTCTTTGTAGGGAAATGTATATTTCATGAAAAAAAAAATTTAATACTTTTGGCTGTCTGGAACGGATTAATTGTATTTCCATTATTTCTTATGGGGAAAATTAATTCAGCTAACGATTATTTTGGCTAACGATGAGCTC